GCGCTCCCTCCGCACTAACCCTCCGACAGTGCGGCGCTCCCTCAGCACTGACCCTCCGACAGTGCGGCGCTCCCTCAGCACTGACCCTCCGACAGTGCGGCGCTCCCTCAGCACTGACCCTCCAACAGTGCAGCGCTCCAACAGAAGTGACCCTGTGGCTGTGCGGTGCACTGACTGAGAAATGAAAGTAACCATTATTCAGCGAGATGGAACTTGGCCTGGTGCTGTTTTGTACTGTTAGGCTGTAAGCTGATGAATATATTTAATTTCTGTCACAGGGAGACACCGGACCACCAGGGCCACCAGGTGTATCCAGATTAACAGTGAGTAAACATCTCATCAAGACAGCATTTTTACATTGTCTTCTGCATTGGTGCTTCATGTCCATTTCTCAACATGTAAATTCCGATTGCAGAGTGATAGCCACCAGAGTTTGTTAAGATTGCATATTTGGCGTATTCAGGTTGAATTCATTTGAGGAAACCTCATCGTAGGTGGAGTTTGAAAGAGATAATTGAATACAAAGAGCATAACAGTTCCATGTGCAACCTCTCACTTTCTCCCAATCCATCATTCTCTCACCCTCTTGCGTATCTTTAAGAAATTTGCAGTTCTCCAAGTTTGGGAATATAAACATGTTTGTTGCATGTATTTGAAGCACTACCCTGTTCTTTAAACCTTGGGGTGTGCTGGACAGGGGAATGATGATAGGCAGGATATCCATTTCTCACCTCTCCCCAAACCACACTCAATGTGTTTATTTTAAAAAAGATGCTGAATTTAGTTGCTGAATGTTTGGTTTGTTCAGAAATGCCAGTTGTTTGGTTTTCATGAATTTTATCCTTCAGCATTTGAATGAAGGCACAACAGCCACACTTACACTCACACAGATCTCCACATACACAGGATGGATTGCAATTACAGACATACCATGTGTTTCTGATTGTTAAGAGTTCTTTCTTACACTTGTTCTCCTGTGGGATAGAGATTGAAACAATGCAGGACTGTAACCATTTTTGGACGACAGCGAAAAGATTGCAGTGAAGAAACGAAGTGGACCCTTGCTACAGTTCCTCGGGTAGAGGGTTCATGGCTGGTTTGAGTGCCCTCTACATGTGCTTTAAGAACTTAGGTTCTTTTCTCTTCCTGGAGTCAATGATTCTGACCCAGAATCTTGTTTAAACACATACCAGAAACTGCTTCTGTCATGTGAGCTCATTAAACACAGAATAATTTCTGATGCTTTGGTCATTGCCCAACACTGGAGTCTGGAAATCACTGATTTGATAAAACACTACAGCTTTTCACTCTCTTCCTTCTGGCTTCCAAATTTCTACCTTTAGAGGTTGCACAGCATTGTGAAATAAAAACACAAATGTACCCGGTCTGGGGGCATTCGTGGAGAAAGAAACAGAGTTAACATTTTGAGTCCATTTTAACTGTTCTTCAGGTTTGTAAATGCGGCCTTTTCCATTAGTGGGAGAAATGTTGCCATTATCACAGGAAGGTTCATTTAATGATCTCGTCAAGAGTTGTCCTGATGTGAAGATTATCTCACTGGTTAGCAAAGAGGGAAATGAAAGGTCATCTACCCTCTCAGCCCCATTTTGTTTTACAGGAAAGTGTCTATTTCAGGTTTATGACTTCATAAGTTCATTTTCATATGTTGTGAATTTGCGTTGCAAAAACATGGCATTCAAGAATGTCTACTGTCCCTGATCATGCAATAAAAACAGGTTTTATGATCCTAATCAGCTCTAAGTCAAAGAACTACTGCAAAAAGTGACACATTTACAGAAAAGAAACTCAGAACAAGCACCAATCTCTAGCACCATTCATGATCTTAGGACATCCCAGAACATTTTACAGCTAAAGAAAGACCAGATTGAAATATAGTCACTGTTATAATGCAGCTGATTTGCACACTGAAAACTTGCTCAAACAGCAATGTGATGATGAACAGAGTAGAAAAGCAATTTATTGTCACGTGTATTTTTACAAAAACCATGCAGTGAAAGTTTTTATAAGTCGCCATAATACAGCACCTAACTTAATGACAGAAGTCAGAAATAAGAAGGAAAACCAAAAGTTTATCACAGTTCAATTAAAGTCTCCCGGGTTCAGGGTATGCTGGAAAACAGGTCCGAAACCATCACAGAGGGCCGGGCTGAGACCACTCGGTGCCACACCGAGTCAAAACCTCCACACCAGGACAAGCCCACCACACTGGGAGACCACCCCGCCTGGCACCACACCTATACCCACCATTCCAGGCCACTTCATTGCTAGGCCTGGGCTAGGAGAAGATGCTTTCCACAAAGTCATTTAAAGAAGGTAATAAATGGAAATATTAAAAAACAGCATAAAAAGAAAAACAAGTAAAGTGGACAGAGTCGATGAGCTCTGGGCTCCTGGGCTGAGGAGCCCACATTTTGCGCTACCTCTCCTTCAGTGATGCTGGTTGAAGGATAAATATTGACCAGGCCAACAAGGATTGGTACTCTGGGATCTTTGAGAGTATGTGCCTGCTCTATTTAAGATGTCGTCCTAAAGGCAGCGTGTGTGAAGGTGCAGCACCCCCTCAGCATGGTCCCCCTTGTGAGTGTCAGTCTAGATTACACACTTACATCTACGGAGTGAGATTCAAACACACGGGCTTTTAAAATTAGAAGTGGGGGTGCCAGAGCTGACTTCATCTGAATAGCCCATTGTAGCAGTTCTTAAATACGGAGCAGCATGAAATCAAATGGAATCTGAAATTAGATTCCTGAAGATCTGACTGTGAACAACAGGGAGCAAGCCAGCCTTAGATTCTTTCCACGGGGCAAGAGAAAATGGACTCTGGTTTCCTGTCCTTGATCAATCTCTGCTGAGCTGTGCTAGAAAGTGAGGTCAGCTGAAGGTAAGATCTGCCTTGGTTGTGAAGCCTATCCCAGTTCATAAGTCACTCTTTGGGCTCTTGTGTGAAGGATATAGTGAGAGGCGGGAGGTGTCAGGAGACATACTGTCAGTAATATTGTGAAACACTGTGTCAGTAATACTGAGGAGCACGACATCAGTAATATTATGAAAGATGGTGCCAGTAATATTGAGGAACATGGTGTCAGTGGTATATCAGTAATCAGTAATGAGTTACACTGTTTAACACTGTGTCAGTACTATTGTGTTTGTGGTTCACTAGATCGAGAAATAGAACACAAGGTAGATGAAAGGTAAACTTGACTCTATTGCACGTCCTGTTAGCTTCACTGCCAGTTTCATACTGCCCCTCTAGCTCCTACCTCTGGGTCACCTGACCCACTCTCTCAAAGGGCAACACACATGCCACTGCATACAGAACGCCCCCTCCACCCTTTATTTCAATGCTCCCCTTAACATCGACTGTATCAATGAGGTGGGCTCGAAGCAGACTCATGGTGGCGGTGGAGTTGAGTTTGGGTCAGTGCGGCACCTGGTGGCATCGGTGGTGTCTGCATTGGCGAGCACTCACAGTGAGGGTGTTGGTGGTGTCTGCGTTGGTGAGCACTCACAGTGAGGGTGTTGGTGGTGTCTGCGTTGGTGAGCACTCACAGTGAGGGTGTTGGTGGTGTCTGCGTTGGCAGCACTCACAGTGAGGGTGTTGGTGGTGTCTGTCTTGGCGAGGACTCATAGTGAGGGTGTTGGTGGTGTCTGTGTTGGCGAGGACTCACAGTGAGGGTGTTGGTGTCTGTGTTGGTGAGGACTCACAGTGAGGGTGTTGGTGGTGACTGTGTTGGCGAGGACTCACAGTGAGGGTGTTGGTGGTGTCTGTATTGGTGAGGACTCACAGTGAGGGTGTTGGTGGTGACTGCGTTGGCGAGCACTCACAGTGAGGGTGTTGGTGGTGTCTGTGTTGGTGAGGACTCACAGTGAGGGTGTTGGTGGTGTCTGTGTTGGTGAGGACTCACAGTGAGGGTGTTGGTGAGGACTCACAGTGAGGGTGTTGGTGGTGTCTGTGTTGGTGAGAACAAACAACAAAGAAAATTACAGCACAGGAACAGACCCTTCGGCCCTCCAAGCCTGCGCTGATCCAGATCCTCTATCTAAACCTGTCACCTATTTTCCAAGGATCTGTATCCCTCTGCTCCCTGCCCATTCATGTATCTGTCTAGATACATCTTAAATGACGCTATCCTGCCCGTCTCTACCACTTCCGCTGGCGACGTGTTCCAGGCACCCACCACCCTCTGCGTAAAGAACTTTCCACGCATATCTCCCTTAAACATTTCCCCTAAACATTTCCCCTCTCACCTTGAAATCATGACCCCTAGTAATTGAGTCCCCCACTCTGGGAAAAAGCTTCTTGCTATCCACCCTGCCTATACCTCTCATGATTTTGTAGGCCTCAATCAGGTCCCCCCTCAACCTCCGTCTTTCTAATGTAAATAATCCTAATCTACTCAACCTCTCTTCATAGCTAGCACCCTCCATACCAGGCAACATCCTGGCGAGCCTCCTCTGCACCCTCTCCAAAGCATCCATATCCTTATGGTAATGTGGCGACCAGAACTGTACGCAGTATTCCAAATGTGGTCGAACCAAAGTCCTATACAACTGTAACACGACCTGCCAACTTTTGTACTCAATACCCCGTCCGATGAATGAAAGCATGCCATATGCCTTCTTGACCACTCTATCGACCTGCATTGCCACCTTCGGGGTACAATGGACCTGAACACCCAGATCTCTCTGTGCATCCTCTGTGAGGACTCAACAGTGAGGGTGTTAGTGGAGGTGAGATAGCACGAAGAATGGCATCTTTTGTTCCAGTGGCAGTGGCGCGGTGAAGGGGACTTATGCCCAGCCCAAAGCGGAGCACTTAACGAGAAGGATCGTAAAGGTCTTTATTTCTTTATTCTTCTGTCTTTATATTCTATGTTTTGGTTTATTTTTCTGTGTTTTAAGAGGGCAATGGAGAGTGACAACATGATACAACACTTTTCCCTGAATTTTGTAACAATTACACACGACAATAAATAAACCAAATCAATATACATACATCCAACAATTATAACGATTATCCAAGCATTGTAGCTAACCTATGTACATCGTCAGGAATATTTACAAAAAGAACATGGAGAACGAAATCAGGGGGATGGCAGCACCTAGAAGACCATCCCCTTGTCTAAGGAATCATGTCTAGTTCAGTTTCCCGGCCTTCCAGGAGCTCCTGTTATTCTACGGAAACATCCCTCTCTGATTGGCTGTTGTTGCTCCATGATGCTGCTGTTGTCTCCTCCCTGGATATGACCAACCCTGGCTCGCAGATACGCGACTCTGTCACCACCCCCGGTCCCATCTGGAC